TTAACCGCTACTTTTTTGGCAATGTGATAATAATGTATATACTTATAGAAGGTATATCTGACGAGTCCAATATACCTATGATCCGAAGACAATCAATCATATACGTATCTATCCAACTGGAAAAGGGACTTCAAAAGAAGAGTGAGTGATAGATTTCGGCAACTGAAACTGGTCTGGTTTGCACGAATAAAACCAAACAACTAAATGAACCGATTTCATGGAAACGATGAACCTAGGATCCCCCATTTAATAAAATGAATAGGTGTGAAAGCTTTCATGCAATCTAGGAATAATAATGAAAACTGCACGGCACAACACCTTTTTCCTCTATCAAAACATTCAATCGTGGTCAAACAAGTAGAATGTGGCGCTACTATTTACACTTGGAAATAATGGTGTTCCCAAAAATTCAGAGCCAATGAGACCAAGTGCCCGCATTAGGGACGAGACTGGGTTTAGGTACTTCCTTCTGTTAGTAATTAGAATAGAAATTGTAAAACCATTAACACCGACGCCCATGACCATACGGTTTTCCCCACTCTCGTGGTTTCATGTCGTGGCGGCCAACTCGGCATTCTTTGAATAGGACAGACGCCAGTTATTTGTAATAAAATTTATTCCTGTCGGTTCTATAGTTCTCTCTCTCTTTCTAATGAATAATGGCTGTTGATGTGGTACGGTTTCGATGTACGGGGGAAGGTCATATTTTCTATATATATCCAGCCATTTGGAGATTCGGGAAGCTGGATTTATGGCCCTTATAATGTCGAAAGTCATGGTCGAAGGCTGATTGCTCATTTTAGATAGTGGTAGTCCATAGCATAGTTTATGAAACCAAATATTAGTTGGATATCTAGTTTGAAAGAAACTGGAACTGAAGAACATTTCTTGGTATATACATGTAGAGCTATGGGCACAGATTATACTGATGCGACAGGAACTATCAGTCCCTTTGATCTTCGAGCTCCCCAACCGTTTGGCGTGTTCTCTACCTGTTATCATGGGCGTCCGGAGGAATTTGTCCCAGGGGTGGTTACGCTTCATTAGTCCGACGCCACACTAATGTCATCCTTTCTACTACAGAATCAAGAAATTCATCATTTGCCCTGATACACTCTGACAAGATAATTTTTTAAGAGCTTTTTATATTGAATATAACCACCAACAACCGTAGAAGTGAATATATCGAATATCCCTGTATGTCACAGCAACAGTTACCAACGAGAATCCTATCAAATACATAGGACTCAAGTTGGCTTTGATAGAACCTGTGTTTTGACAGTGTCGCCTGTGGTACTCTGTGCTTTGGGTTCAGGAGGAGCATGGGTGCACATGGCATGTCTGCAGATATCCTTAAGTGCAACTTCTATGACCTCAAACATTAACCGACATAATTGGTTAACGTATTATATAGGTGTAGTCACCATTTTTGGCGGTTACGTAATCAACGTCATATGAAATAAGTAAACAGATCGAGTCTCCGTACAATGGGCGGAACACTGCGCAGAATAATCTGCTACTTTCCATAGTTCACATGAAGTGGGTAAGAGGAAACCGCAGTTTTCATTCTCTCCTCTAATAAATTTAGTACGAGCTGTCGGCCTCCTCCATTGATCGAATTTCCGGGCATTGTACAATTTTATATTGAAGATTGATAACAGGAAAACTCGAATTACACGCCGATGTCAAGTATGTTGTCACTCTGACAAATATGATTGAAGGGCACTGGTAGTCTAGCTTTGATCCGCCAAAAACGGTGACTACAACTATACTAGAAGATAGCCAACCTAATGGTACATGTAGTGAATACAGAAACGCTGTGATATCTCATTTTATCTCGGATAATTTTGTGGACATGGAAATATAGCATTAGGTTGGTTATCATAAGGAAGAATAGGTTAATTAATGTTAACATTACAGGAGTAACGTGAAACTAAATAGACGGTTAAATAATCCATGGCCGCACTTGATTTTATTCAGTTTTGTTTTTTTATCAACATGAACACCTTCAAGCTGAACATTGAAATGTACGAAACAAATAAACAAATCTGAAAAACAAATTGTCAACAATGGAATGTTGAAACCTTATGCGCACAAAAAAAACAAGAATTTTCTGGGTAATGAAGACATTTGATATTTGAGAACTTAGTTGTAATTGTTGAACTCAAAAGTTTTCCAGACCATATTCCCGGATCGCGTAGTTGGCATAGATACTGCATATAGCAGTTTCTGATGTATTTTAACCCAACGGCATATTATTTATATTGACATTTTCCGACATCGTCAATATTATTTTATCTTGTGCGTATTATGAAAAAATATCTGCTATGCGGTACACGATATTTTATTGCCGTGTTTATGCGGTTAATTTAATCTCATGCGTAAAGTTGTGCACTATTTTTAGAACAGGCTGTTGATATTACATATATTTTCAATGTATACGACCCAGGTTCCGCGAAACGTACAGTTAATGTTCAAACATAGCTAGGTAGGAATGTAAATCCCCGTGTAAAACTGAAAATAACATTTAATATCTTTTTACCTATTAGGTTTTTTTGGCTCTAACGGCCACCAAGTTCATCAAATTACTTAGCTTGAGGTGAAGCTGTAGGATGTTTGATATAATAAATTCCATCTGATATAGCCGAGTGAACATCTCAACAGAAGTCACTAAAACCAATCAAATGGAGTTAGACCAAGCTAAACTAGCCAACGATGAATCCCAATTTCAGATAATTCTCCTGATCCTTACCTTTAGCAAATAATTATTGCAATCGAACAATTATTTTGCATATTTTATTTTAATATTAAAAAATACGGGGTGGCGGCAAAGTTGGGGTCTTACATAGCTTATAAGTCAGGCAATAATAAGCATGTTTTTCTAGTAATACATATACCAAAGCCTTAAGATAGACCATGTCTATATGAGTCAGTATCCAAATCAGACGCCGCGCGGTGTGTAGGCTATCGATTCGTTTAATTTACCCTGAGGTCCTATTGATACTCCGCGAGTGTATTCGATCATTCAGAACGTCGCCGTCGTCATCGGTATTTCCATCAGAGCTACGTATGTTTGTTTATATCATGCAAAAGCCGGCCTGGTTGGATACAGTAGAAGACCTAGATATCCTCAATTGTTGCAAATTTAAGAAAAAGTAAATAAACTGGTGTTTTGGTATCACTGTGCTTGATGCCCAGTTGCCTTTCAAGAAGGATTTATTCAAAATCAAAAAGCTTTCCCCAACTACTTTATTTTTGGAACGGATCTAGTTAGCAAGCTAAAAGTCAGGATAATGAAATTGAGGTACGAATACTGTATTTGAGCATAAAAGTGACATTTCAAAGTTTCAAGTGAGAATATGTATCGTCATCAGAATTGTCACTTATACTTGAAAAAGGTCACCGAGGTGGAGGATACTTCGTGTCATTGAACAATAACTCAAACATACTTATGTGGTTTCATTTTAGCCCAAGCAAATATGGATGATTATTAGGATAAAAACCACCTGGTTAAAATTTGGGTATTACAGTGTTGGTTTTATTGTAACGAAAACACCGTTTTTACTATTTAAAGTTTAATTTATTACTTTCACACTAATTTATTACAACACTTGCAACTAATTTATTACAAATGTATGACCATGTCGACTGGACTATAGCATTTCGTGCTGCTAGCTTATCATCCACTGTCGACTATATCTGCCTTAGGCGCGTGTATTTATCCTCTAATCGACGAATTTTAGGAGCGCTTCCGCGTTTTTTCCAGTCTTCTTCAAAGTTGGTAGATGTTTCTCGATGCGTGTCGAACGCTTGCGACGCGTGGTTGCGAAGTGGGTTGCCTAAGCGTCTCATTGTTGCTCAGAGTTCCAGTTACGAGGACTATACATTAGGTTGAAACAAAGAGGATTACCTATGTGGGACACCCTTTACATAATCAGATATAGTTTGCAATTTATAAATTTGAGATTTTTTTTATTGCAGGTATGGTCGGGTGCAAAGCGTCAAACTGTTGCCGGCATCGTCGGCGGCGGCCTCGTGCGACGGGGGGCCGGATAAGGGGCTGGTCGGGGGCGAGATCTCGCTGGCGGCCGCCCCCAGCTGCACGGTGGCCTTCATGGACATCAAGAGCGCCTCGAAAGCGCACAACGCCACCGATCTCAAGATAGACGACCGGCAACTGACTACCGAGTACTACGAGCCGGCCGCCATCCTTCCGTCCACCACGAATGCCGTACCCCCCACGTTGGGGGGAGCGGTAGTATCTCCTAAGGGCAGCAATGGAACACCTGAGGATATAGTCAGCGCTGCTTCGCCCCACCATCAAACGTCGCCCGCGCAAACTAGGTTTCCCAATGGCCATGGGTGAGTCTGCGAATTCTCAGTTTTATCGTATTTCCGAAATGTATCTATTTTAGGAATTATCTGCAATATCTTGTACAATGGACAAATGCTACTTATTTTGTGATCGAGGGAAGCGAACTTGTGATGAAATTGATGCAAACGAATTGCTTACACTTTAACGTAAAAGTGATTGGGCAATTTCTAGAGTATGTATTTTTTAAATGGAAAGGGGGATCATGTGATACCTCGTTTTGAAGCTCCTACTCGGCACATTATAACCCAGCCTAGAACATAAATGTATGTAAAACATGGAATATTCCATAGTTTATTACATATTCAGATAGATCCTTTTCAGAGAAGAATATTGATATAAATTACTCATAACTCCGAATTTCAGCTTGGTAACTTGACTCGTTCAAAAAATCACCTTAATGCAGAACTATTCCATGTCACCAATTTCCAAATTTTGCTTTTACATTCTATGTGGCGTAATTGAGGTTCGTCTAGGGCGCTGCAGAACATAGGATACATGTCTACGCTGTCGGAGAATGCCGAAAATGGGCGATAAAAATTTAGTCTATGGTCCTACGCGTCTATCGCTCTATCCCTGTTGCGCAGAACCGTTTTATCTGCGGAAGGGTGCAATTGCTGTTTTGAACTTGGATAGTTCTGCTCCAATGGGACCAGATGCAGAATCAACTTTTTCAAAAGCACTGTATGCTTAGACATCGCCTGTATTTGTAACCGGATGATGTTAAAATCACCGTCACATATTTCAACTGGGAGGAATAAGTTAAGTACCATTCAAGACATATGCCTTTGAATGTAAATCTAGCTTTTCTTATAGGCCACTTTTTAATGTTTGGTTTAATCACGGTTCCATATTTACGAGTGCATAATGTCGGAAACAAATGGAAAATAGAAAATGTACCACATGAGTTATTGCAAAAATAATGGTACTGGACACAATTTTGATATTTTTCCTGCACTTTTTACAATTATTTTGAAATCTCGTATTTTGTGAGCCAACTTTACATTTTCAAGAATCCTACTGAAGATTAAATGCAATTGTTTTATTATGTTTTTTAAATTCCTTGTCTCGTTTATGTGTTGTTGGGGTCTGAACAAAGAGTACTTGGAGGTGAAGCATTCGGCAATATCACAGTGCTTAGGAGCTTCTATGTGCGGAGATCAACAAATGTGTTGGCAACATGGTAGATACTATTTTGGTCTTCGCCTACTGCGTGCAGCATGTCAAACAAACATCACAAAAAAAAAACGGGCGCCACCTCAAAAAACGTCAGGTGTGTCTGCCCGTGTATTTTCATGAAAGATTTATGAGCTCAGGAGGCTGACGTCCATTAATTAAAAATAAGAATAATAACTATCTAAAGGTACATTTCACAAATGATTATATTCGTCGTTGTCAGTGCGGTTCTATGGACCTTAGTTAAAACAGACACAGACATGTAAGAAAGCAAATAAGGAATTACATATGTCCCAAATGTTTTGGCACAAAATGTTCCTCGTATTTTTTATTATGAATCAATTTATTTAAACACTAACTAGTTATCATAAATTACAACTCATTACTTAACTAAACTATACTATCGAATTATGTGGAGTGGCCCATTCTGCTCTACCAGACGCAACTTTCCACGAATGTCTCTCATGAGGTTCTGGACGGAATTCAGATCAATGTCTGTTTTTCGTAAATACGCCGTCTTAATTGTTCTTCGTCTTGGAGTTTCAGCATCCATGATAAATCTTCCTACACAGTAAAGCCCAAAAACACCTCTATTAGGCGAGTCTGCAGCAAGTTAGGAGGATTATCGTTTTTGGGAACAAAAGGTATTTTCAGTTGTCGAAGCCAGTTTTGGGTATCTATTGAGTAATGGCATGATGCTAGGTCTGGTCAAAACATGATATGGCCATTACCATGATGTTCGTGGACCAACTGAAGCAATTTGGGAAGGCAGTTATCAATATAGCTCTGACTATTCAAAGCTTCACCCCTCACTCTTGCCACAACAAAAGTTTGGGATACACCCCTATTAGAAATTGTGCACCAGACAAGGATTTTATCTGCAAATTTCGCTTTATGTTTGTATCTAACATTGTCAGGGCATTCCTCTACGTTGATAAAGTGATATACTTTTCGTCATCTAAACTAATAATGTTTCCAAAGTGTACCCGCCCCAGTTGACGACAGCATCTGGGTATACGAAGTAGTTGCGCTTGAGAGTATTTGGGGTACTTAAGTCTCTTTCGATATTTAAGGACATTCCTCCTCAATTCCAACGATATCGTATCGTTAGAAGATCTGTATTGACGAGCCAGTCTCTTTGTTGACATTCTAACCTGATCTTTGCTCTTCTCACCAATCTCTCTGACCTCTGTACAGTAAATGCACGTGGTCTTCTACTTTTTGGGAGACTCAGACATGGTATTTCCTGCTCGCACTCCGCTTTTGTCCGATAAAGTTTATTTGAAATCATTTCGTTCAGGAATATTCGACAGATTTCAGCTTTGGGTGCCCGCCCCACCAACTTGTAGATACTTTTTCTTATTTCTAATCTATACAACATCTTGAAGCGAAACGTCAAAATAAATAAATGTCGACTGACGGTAAAGTAAAGGAGAGAAAAGAAGGATATTATTTAAAGTAGATAAAATTTATGCATTGTAAATTCAACTACCAAGTAATTTTACTGTTCGATTCAATTTTTTCATCAATGTTTTGCTAAGTGACGTAAAGGGAGTTGCTGTGCGATTCCGCTTGATTGTAACGCTGTTGTGCCTGTTGTTTTATGTAATCCCTTAGATATGTGATGTCAAGATATTTGTGAATGGTCTCATTCTCTCATTTGGCACTCACCGTGAGGCGTTAGTGATTGTAAGCAGGGTTCTGTCTTTGCAAGAAAACACCAAGCTGCGCATGTATAGGTGATTTCTGGTCTTGTAACCATAACTGCGACGTTTCTTAATACAATATAAATATAGCCTATACTCTCGAATGGTTGATTTTGGTCAGCCACCGATCAGCCCACTCCGATACTTACACCACCGCATCTTGTAACCTCTCGTTAATCAGTTCACCAGAACACGACAAGGCTACTAGTGCAGTGTCCTCAGCACGGTCGCTGTGGCCGTGATGTTCATATAGTGAATAGAGGGTTGCTCTTACAATCGAACCCTGAGGAACGCCGGCTCTTGTTGTTGACAAAACATTGTTAATTTTGGTCCGAAACTTCCATCCTTCTAAAAAGAATATCAACAGTTTTGGAAGCCAAAATGCAAAGAATTTTTGTATAAGTTATATAAGAGCGTGTGTTGGCTTTTTTCTGCCTAATTTTGGATGATATGAATAGGGAAAGTTTGTATAGCATGTGATTTCATGGCTATATACTTTGAAGTTGAGTCATTAATTTTCAGATAATGATTGTAGAAGGAAGATAAACCAAAATATGTGTGTAAAAATAAAAAAAAAATAAAAAAAAATGTTTACCTTGTTTTATAAAGTATCCTCCCGACAAGTATTTCAGTGCGGACCTGTATTTGATCGTGAGGTCCCCTGTGAGGTCTGAAGTCACCTGATTCACGAGCCCGTTGTACTACATTAACAAAGGCACGAGGGGTTGGTTGCACTCGATTGGGAAACCGATCCGCATAAACATGTGCCATTTTTTATTTCGTTTGAGCCACGCAACAGATACTATTCACACGCGACTGACGCTGATTGTATGTATAACTGAACTGAATAAAGTAAACATCGTTCCAAATTCTTTCGCTTTTTTGTTTCAGATGCGATGAACCGATAAGGTGGATTATATCCGTTGTTGCCAAACACCAGCACATGATGTTATTGAGACAGGGCGGTACTCAAACTTCCAAAGGGCTATAACTTTGTTACTTTAATTTTACCAGAAAAATGGTAAAGGAAAAAAACATTTCTTTTGATCAGATCTACTCACTGTTAAAATAAATGACTCAACTTCGAAGTCACCCTGTATAGCCTGTGAAATAATTCAGTTTCTTGGACGTTGACGCTCTGCGGTGATCAGAATTGGGCCCTCAGATCATATGATGTAACACCATTTGATTTTTTATGAGGTTATTGAACACAAACGTATATGCCAATAATTTGATTTTTATGAAATTTTCAAACTGATAGATACAAGAAAGAGCTGAAGATTGAAAAAGCTTTAAAAATATTGGGGATCTAATTTGCAGCCATGTGTATTGTATTATGAACTTGGAAACGTCTTATTTTTTTATAACATGTGATATTGTATGAAAAGTGTTTTGTTCGTATTTTCTTTCACTCACCAAACCCACTCGAAACCAATAAACCAATCGTGTACCCTATTTATAGTATCATTCGATTTCCTTATAGATTGTGTTTTTCAATTTTGCAACAACATTTTTCATCACATGTCGTATACATAACACAGCCAATAGCAGCATAACTGTTTATTCCTCTAGACATTTATAAATATGGTGATTGTATAACGTTTTACGGGTATTTGGAATGATCGCCTAACGTAACGCTGCTTCTCAATAATCCAGTTAGAATCTCATGGCTATAATGGGATTGGCCGAGATGAAACATGTTGGGTAATTAATCAGTCCATCTATCTATGTATATTTTCTGAACTTTGGAATCAGATTGAAGTAAATACAAGTAATAGAATAGGAAAATAACGGATAAGTTATGTAATTGACCGTAGGGTATCGTACATCGTTTGAAATAGAGGAACTATTCAGAACACGAATGTCCAAGGTCAGTATAATTTGCAACCTTCCCATACAATACTACCGATTGACCGTTGGCGATAAAATGATGGACTTTGAGAATTTATATCAAAGCTTGGCATGAAAATCTATGAAAAATTCTATTCTTATTTCTCAAAATAACGTGTATGTTTTAATCGTTTACATAGATAGGTATTTTCATTAATTATGATAGCAAACCTAATACTATATTCGAGCGTCCGTAAAATTATCCAAGATAAAAATAGACACCGTAGCTTCCTCTATGAGAATTTATCACAGTTGTTTCTTGTCAGTGGTGCGCCTTATATGTCACAGCTTATGAATTAGCGGCTGTCTGCCAGAAGCCAGCAGATCCTATTCATGCTGTGTTTATTTTATACAACTTTTAATGGTAGCATGTTGAGTATTTAGTATTCCAATGAGTGACGATGGGAGACTTACGAAGGGCCGATCGTAGAAGCGAACTCTGTCACTCAGAGAAGCCGGGAAACTGTGATTTCCTGGTACTGTACGCGGATCAGTTTGCTTTCCATCATCTGCGTCTCCAAATGGCTGGACTCATACGCTACTGATGATTGCTAAAAAGTATGAGCCAACGTTGTATACGGTTGATTATGGTCGCAGAGACGGAAACCAAACAGATCCCATGCAAGGATATGACATTAATTTATTCATATACAGGGTGGGCAATGTATAACTGACTGATTTAAATTGCGCGCCATTTTAGTAGGTGGCGCCGTAGTAGTTGTTTAAAGCACACGTGTCCAATTCATCATGAAGCGCTACACGAACCCACAACGCGTCCGTCTTGTTAAAACGTTTTATTTTACTTGAATAATGAGTCGATTGTTGCAACTATTCGGAAGCTACGACAAGATTTCGGTCAAAATAATGTGCCTAGTGTCAACACCATTCATCGGTTGATGCGGAAATTTGAGCAAACAGGTGAAGTTAAAGACTTGCCACGGTCGTTCGTACTCCGGAAAATATCGAGTGAGTTCGTGAAAGTGTAGTGGAGCACCCTGAGACGTCTACCAGACATCGTTCTCAAGAACTGGGTATCCGTCGCATGTCATTAATCACTATTTTACAAAAGACTTGCATTTGCGGCCGTACAAAATTCAGTTAATCCAAGAACTACAGCCTAGTGACCATG